GGCTAGTGTGCGCACTCACCTCCACGCTGCGACCCCCCCCACCCCCCCGGGGTCAACACACATCAATGGAGCGCTCACCTCCACGCTGCGACCCCCCCCACCCCCCCGGGGTCAACACACATCAATGGAGCGCTCAGCAGAGCGATCCTAATCACATCTGTAGCCTCGGCAGCAATCCAGGAACCATACCAATAGTGGTGTTACCCCAAGACCCCAATCCTTCTGTCCTTCACACCCCAATCCTTCTGTCCTTCACACCCCAATCCTTCTGTCCTTCACACCCCAATCCTTCTGTCCCCCTTCACACCCCAATCCTCCTGTCCCCCTTCACACCCCAACCCTTCTGTCCCCCTTCAAACCCCAATCCTTCTGTCTCTCTTCACACCCCAATCCTCCTGTCCCCCTTCACACCCCAATCCTCCTGTCCCCCTTCACACCCCAACCCTTCTGTCCCCCTTCACACCCCAACCCTTCTGTCCCCCTTCAAACCCCAATCCTTCTGTCTCTCTTCACACCCCAATCCTCCTGTCCCCCTTCACACCCCAATCCTCCTGTCCCCTTTCACACCCCAACCCTTCTGTCCCCCTTCACACCCCAACCCTCCTGTCCCCCTTCACACTCCAACCCTTCTGTCCCCCTTCACACCCCAACCCTTCTGTCCCCCTTCAAACCCCAATCCTTCTGTCCCTCTTCACACCCCAATCCTCCTGTCCCCCTTCACACCCCAACCCTTCTGTCCCCCTTCAAACCCCAATCCTTCTGTCCCTCTTCACACCCCAATCCTCCTGTCCCCCTTCACACCCCAACCCTTCTGTCCCCCTTCACACCCCAACCCTCCTGGCCCCTTCACACCCCAACCCTCCTGTCCCCCTTCACACCCCAACCCTTCTGTCCCCCTTCACACCCCAATCCTCCTGTCCCCTTCACACCCCAACCCTTCTGTCCCCCTTCAAACCATAATCCTTCTGTCCCTCTTCACACCCCAATCCTCCTGTCCCCCTTCACACCCCAACCCTTCTGTCCCCCTTCACACCCCAACCCTCCTGTCCCCCTTCACACCCCAACCCTTCTGTCCCCCTTCACACCCCAACCCTCCTGTCCCCCTTCACACCCCAACCCTTCTGTCCCCCTTCACACCCCAACTCTTCTGTCCCTCTTCACACCCCAATCCTCCTGTCCCCCTTCACACCCCAATCCTTCTGTCCCCCTTCACACCCCAATCCTCCTGGCCCCCTTAACACCCAATCCTTCTGTCCCCCTTCACACCCCAATCCTCCTGGCCCCCTTAACACCCCAATCCTTCTGTCCCCCTTCACACCCCAATCCTCCTGTCACCCTTCACACCCCAATCCTTCTGTCCCCTTCACACCCCAATCCTTCTGTTTCTCGTCACACCCCAATTCCTGATACCAATGATGGGGCACTATTCCTCCCACTGACACCAATGATGGGGCACTATTCCTCCCACTGACACCAATGATGGGGCACTATTCCTCCCACTGATACCAATGATGGGGCACTATTCCTCCCACTGACACCAATGATGGGGCACTATTCCTCCCACTGACACCAATGATGGGGCACTATTCCCCCCACTGATACCAATGATGGGGCACTATTCCTCCCACTGATACCAATGATGGGGCACTATTCCTCCCACTGACACCAATGATGGGGCACTATTCCCCCCACTGACACCAATGATGGGGCACTATTCCCCCCACTGATACCAATGATGGGCACTATTCCTCCCACTGACACCAATGATGGGACACTATTCCTCCCACTGACACCAATGATGGGACACTATTCCTCCCACTGACACCAATGATGGGGCACTATTCCTCCCACTGACACCAATGATGGGGCACTATTCCCCCCACTGATACCAATGATGGGGCACTATTCCTCCCACTGATACCAATGATGGGACACTATTCCTCCCACTGACACCAATGATGGGACACTATTCCTCCCACTGACACCAATGATGGGACACTATTCCTCCCACTGACACCAATGATGGGACACTATTCCTCCCACTGACACCAATGATGGGGCACTATTCCCCCCACTGATACCAATGATGGGACACTATTCCTCCCACTGACACCAATGATGGGGCACTATTCCTCCCACTGACACCAATGATGGGGCACTATTCCTCCCACTGACACCAATGATGGGGCACTATTCCTCCCACTGACACCAATGATGGGGCACTATTCCTCACACTGACACCAATGATGGGGCACTATTCCTCCCACTGACACCAATGATGGGACACTATTCCTCCCACTGACACCAATGATGGGGCACTATTCCTCCCACTGACACCAATGATGGGGCACTATTCCTCCCACTGACACCAATGATGGGGCACTATTCCCCCCACTGATACCAATGATGGGGCACTATTCCTCCCACTGATACCAATGATGGGACACTATTCCTCCCACTGACACCAATGATGGGACACTATTCCTCCCATTGACACCAATGATGGGACACTATTCCTCCCACTGACACCAATGATGGGACACTATTCCTCCCACTGACACCAATGATGGGGCACTATTCCCCCCACTGATACCAATGATGGGACACTATTCCTCCCACTGACACCAATGATGGGGCACTATTCCTCCCACTGACACCAATGATGGGGCACTATTCCTCCCACTGACACCAATGATGGGGCACTATTCCACTGCGAGCGTAGCCCGGTCATCACCACCCACTGACACCAATGATGGGGCACTATTCCCCCCACTGACACCAATGATGGGGGACTATTCCTCCCACTGACACCAATGATGGGGCACCATTCCTCCCACTGATACCAATGACGGGACACTATTCCTCCCACTGACACCAATGATGGAGCACTATTCCTCCCACTGACACCAATGATGGGGCACTATTCCTCCCACTGACACCAATGATGGGGCACTATTCCCCCCACTGACACCAACGATGGGGCACTATTCCCCCCACTGACACCAATGATGGGGTACTATTCCTCCCACTGATGAGACCTTTTCTTCTCCCACTGGGCACAGTTCGGTCCCCCTAAAGTCTGAAGGACAGTAAACTGGTCATTTTGTTTAAAAACAGTTTTAAGACCCCCACTGTATACTAATCCTTAATATTATTATCCATCACACAATATCCCCCCCCCCCCCCCCATGCAGACAGGGTCCTATATACTCCGCCCCCCCATAATAATAATACAAGGAATGTTCTGCACTATCCATCCACCTCTTCTGATGGACATTTTCCTCCCCATGGATGAACACACAGATCTGGGGGGTGCACATGAACCCTCCCTAGTGCCCCCCTAGTGCCCCCCCGGTGCCCCCCCTCCTTCCTGACGTCCCCAGACTCCCTGTATTCCGGCGCTCAGCTCATCCCTGGAAGGGAATCTTCATTCTGTTTACGGATTCACAGAATTCTTGGCTCCCTCCTTCCATGTGCGATGACCCCCAGTGGCCCCCAATGACCCCATTTCTCGGTGGGGGGGACATGCGTGGATGAAGGGGGGCAGAAAAGTCTAACAATTTTTCTGAAAGAATAAAGAGAGAAATGATTTTGTGAATTGGAAGTTCGGCTGCTGCCTGCCGGGGTCACCCGAGGTGAGATCCACACACCCGCCTCCCATCCAACTGCTGACATCGGGAAGAGCGAACGATTCGGAGGAAACCGAGAGAGAAGGTGCGAGAAATACAACATGAAACAATGTAACATTGAGCTGCCACACCTGAGCAGGACCGAGGAGGAGGAGCCAGTACACCTGTGCAGGACCGAGGGGGGGGGGGAGCCAGTACACCTGTGCAAGACTGAAGGGGAGGAGCCGGTACACACCTGTGCAAGACTGAAGGGGAGGAGCCAGTACACCTGTGCAAGACTGAAGGGGAGGAGCAGGTACACCTGTGCAACACTGAAGGGGAGGAGCTAGTACACCTGTGCAAGACTGAAGGGGAGGAGCCGGTACACTTGTGCAAGACTGAAGGGGAGGAGTCGCAACACCTGTGCAAGACTGAAGGGGAGGAGCCAGTACACCTGTGCAAGACTGAAGGGGAGGAGCCAGTACACCTGTGCAAGACTGAAGGGGAGGAGCCGGTACACTTGTGCAAGACTGAAGGGGAGGAGTCGCAACACCTGTGCAAGACTGAAGGGGAGGAGCCAGTACACATGTGCAAGACTGAAGGGGAGGAGCCAGTACACCTGTGCAAGACTGAAGAGGAGGAGCCGGTACACCTGTGCAAGACTGAAGGGGAGGAGCCAGTACACCTGTGCAAGACTGAAGAGGAGGAGCCGGTACACCTGTGCAAGACTGAAGGGGAGGGGCCAGTACACCTGTGCAACACTGAAGGGGAGGGGCCGGTACACCTGTGCAACACTGAAGGGGAGGGGCCGGTACACCTGTGCAAGACTGAAGGGGAGGAGCCGGGGCACCTGTGTAAGACTGGAGGGGAGGAGCCGGTACACCTGTGCAAGACTGAAGGGGAGGAGCCGGTACACCTGTGCAGGACTGAAGTGGAGGAGCCGGTACACCTGTGCAAGACTGAAGGGGAGGAGTTGTCACACCTGAGCAGGACCAAAGGGGAGGAGCCAGTACACCTGTGTAAGGCTTAAGGGGAGGAGCCGGTACACCTGTGCAAGACTGAAGGGGAGGAGCCGGTACACCTGTGCAAGACTGGAGGGGAGGAGCCGGCACACCTGTACAAGACTGAAGGGGGGGAGGAGCCGGTACACCTGTGCAGGACCGAAAGGGAGGAGCTGGTACACCTGTGCAAGACTGAAAGGGAGGAGCCAGTACACCTGTGCAAGACTGAACGGGAGGAGCCAGTACACCTGTGCAAGACTGGAGGGGAGGAGCCTGTACACCTGTGCAATACTGAAGGGGATGAGTTGCCACACCTGTGCAGGACCAAAGGGGAGGATCCGGTACACATGTGCAAGACTGAAGGGGAGGAGCCAGTAAACCTGTGCAAGACTGGAGGGGAGGAGCTGGTACACCTGTGCAAGACTGGAGGGGAGGAGCTGGTACACTTGTGCAAGACTGAAGAGGAGGAGCCAATACACCAGAAAAAGACTGGAGGGGAGGAGCTCATACACCTGTGCAGGACTGAATGGGAGGAGTCGGCACACTTGTGCAGGACTGAATGGGAGGAGTCGGCACACTTGTGCAGGACTGAATGGGAGGAGCCAGCACACCTTTGCAGGACTGAAGGGGAGGAGCCGGTACACCTGTGCGAGACTGAATGGGAGGAGTTGGCACACCTGTGCAGGACTGAAGGGGAGGAGCTGGCACACCTGTGCATGACTGAAGGGGAGGAGCCAGCACACCTGTGCAAGTGCAAGACTGAAGGGGAGGAGCTGGCACACCTGTGCATGACTGAAGGGGAGGAGCCGGCACACCTGTGCAGGACTGAAGGGGAGGAGCTGGCACACCTGTGCATGACTGAAGGGGAGGAGCCGGCACACCTGTGCAGGACTGAAGGGGAGGAGCTGGCACACCTTGCAGGACTGAAGGGGAGGAGTCGGCACACCTGTGCAGGACTGAAGGGGAGGAGCCGGCACACCTGTGCAGGACTGAAGGGGAGGAGCTGGCACACCTGTGCAGGACTAAAGAGGAGGAGCCGGTACACCTGTACAGGTCTTAAGGGGAGGAGCTGGGAGGATTTAGGTGACAAGTTGAGACAAATTTCCCTGCAGAGAGTCGGTGATATTTTTCTGCTGAGAGATTTGGAAGTTTTGCTATCTGGCCCCTCATATCATATAAACAACTCGTATTCCAGAATCCAAGATGGCTGCTGCGGGATCACGTATGTGTAGTCTGCTCTACTAGTTGCATCAAAGATGGCGTCCTCAGGAGCCCGCCAATCGCCATCTTTTCATTGTCAGCGCGTTTCCCACATGAAATCATTGTATGGGGATCACACTAAGGAGGACGTCTCTTTCCTTTTCATGCCGCGATATCCAGCTGAGTCAGCACAGCGATCTGATTGGACGCAGCACCTCCATCGCCTGACATGTGACTTGGAGGACAGCTGGATACCTTGGATTGATACAGAGCCGAGTGACCCCTCTGTATTGGGGGTCACAGGATTCTGGGAAGCCCCCTTTGTTGTACCCCAAGGCGCTGTGTGCTTCACCATGAAGACATTTTGGTGACACCCACACCTGTCATTTCCCTCGTCATCGAAGAACCCCGAAATTTCCAGGTTTTGGGGTAACATTTGGATCACTTTATTTTCTCAGTTTGCGATGACCCATCAGAGTGTGATATATCGTCATCGAGCTGCGGCACTGCGCATGTTCTGTTATGTTCGAGCTGCGGCACTGCGCATGTTCTGTTATGTTCGAGCTGCGGCACTGCGCATGTTCTGTTATGTTCGAGCTGCGGCACTGCGCATGTTCTGTTATGTTCGAGCTGCGGCACTGCGCATGTTCTGTTATGTTCGAGCTGCGGCACTGCGCATGTTCTGCTATGTTCGAGCTGCGGCACTGCGCATGCTCTGTTCTATTCGAGCTGCGGCACTGCGCATGTTCTGTTCTATTCGAGCTGCAGCACTGCGCATGCTCTGTGCTATTCGAGCTGCAGCACTGCGTATGTTCTGTTATGTTCGAGCTGCGGCACTGCGCATGTTCTGTTATGTTCGAGCTGCAGCACTGCGCATGTTCTGTTCTATTCGAGCTGCGGCACTGCGCATGTTCTGTTCTATTCGAGCTGCGGCACTGCGCATGTTCTGTTCTATTCGAGCTGCGGCACTGCGCATGTTCTGTTATGTTCGAGCTGAGGCACTGCGCATGTTCTGCTATGTTCGAGCTGCGGCACTGCGCATGTTCTGTTATGTTCGAGCTGCGGCACTGCGCATGCTCTGTTCTATTCGAGCTGCGGCACTGCGCATGTTCTGTTATGTTCGAGCTGCGGCACTGCGCATGTTCTGCTATGTTCGAGCTGCGGCACTGCACATGTTCTGTTATGTTCGAGCTGCGGCACTGCGCATGCTCTGTTCTATTCGAGCTGCGGCACTGTGCATGTTCTGTTCTATTCGAGCTGCGGCACTGCGCATGCTCTGTTCTATTCAAGCTGCGGCACTGCGCTTGTTCTGTTCTATTCGAGCTGCGGCACTGCGCATGTTCTGTTATATTTGAGCTGCGGCACTGCGCATGTTCTGTTATGTTCGAGCTGCGGCACTGCGCATGTTCTGTTCTATTCGAGCTGCGGCACTGCGCATGTTCTGTTATGTTCGAGCTGCGGCACTGCGCATGCTATGTTCTTTTCGAGCTGCGGCACTGCACATGTTCTGTTCTGTTCGAGCTGCGGCACTGCACATGTTCTGTTATGTTCGAGCTGCGGCACTGCGCATGTTCTGTTCTATTCGAGCTGCAGCACTGCGCATGTTCTGTTATGTTCGAGCTGCGGCACTGCACATGTTCTGTTCTATTCGAGCTGCAGCACTGCGTATGTTCTGTTATGTTCGAGCTGCGGCACTGCGCATGTTCTGTTATGTTCGAGCTGCAGCACTGCGCACGTTCTGTTCTATTCGAGCTGCGGCACTGCGCATGTTCTGTTCTATTCGAGCTGCGGCACTGCGCATGCTCTGTTCTATTCGAGCTGCGGCACTGCGCATGTTCTGTTCTATTCGAGCTGCGGCACTGCGCATGTTCTGTTATATTTGAGCTGCGGCACTGCGCATGTTCTGTTATGTTCGAGCTGCGGCACTGCGCATGTTCTGTTATGTTCGAGCTGCGGCACTGCACATGCTCTGTTCTATTCGAGCTGCGGCACTGCGCATGTTCTGTTATGTTCGAGCTGCGGCACTGCGCATGTTCTGCTATGTTCGAGCTGCGGCACTGCACATGTTCTGTTATGTTCGAGCTGCGGCACTGCGCATGCTCTGTTCTATTCGAGCTGCGGCACTGCGCATGTTCTGTTCTATTCGAGCTGCGGCACTGCGCATGCTCTGTTCTATTCAAGCTGCGGCACTGCGCATGTCCTGTTCTATTCGAGCTGCGGCACTGCGCATGTTCTGTTATATTTGAGCTGCGGCACTGCGCATGTTCTGTTATGTTCGAGCTGCGGCACTGCGCATGTTCTGTTCTATTCGAGCTGCGGCACTGCGCATGTTCTGTTATGTTCGAGCTGCGGCACTGCGCATGTTCTGTTATGTTCGAGCTGCGGCACTGCGCATGTTCTGTTCTATTCGAGCTGCGGCACTGCGCATGTTCTGTTATGTTCGAGCTGCGGCACTGCGCATGCTATGTTCTATTCGAGCTGCGGCACTGCGCATGTTCTGTTCTGTTTGAGCTGCGGCACTGCGCATGTTCTGTTATGTTCGAGCTGCGGCACTGCGCATGTTCTGTTATGTTCGAGCTGCGGCACTGCGCATGTTCTGTTATAATCGAGCTGCACTATTGTGGTGTTTATTATGCGATGTATGACGATCTCCTGTCGGCGGTGTGTGCAGCTATGGGCCCGCTTCCGAATCGCAGAGCGACTACAGGGTGACGATAAATTCCAGGATTCATATATTCTGTGATTGTGGAATCTCTGTTGTTGTACATTCACTTTAATAAATCTGCACCTTTGCCGCCCTCATTGCCGCCCTCATTACCACCCTCACTCATTGCCGCCCTCATAGCCACCCTCATTGCCGCCCTCATAGCCACCCTCATTGCCGCCCTCACTCATTGCTGCCCTCATTGCCGCCCTCATTACTGTCCTCACTCATTGCCGCCCTCACTGCTGCCCTCATTGCTGCCCTCATTGCCGTCCTCATTGCCGCCCTCACTGCTGCCCTCATAGCCACCCTCATTACCGCCCTCACTCATTGCCCTCCTCATTGCTGCCCTCATTATCGTCCTTATTGCTACCCTCATTGCTGCCCTCATTGCCGCCCTCACTCATTGCTGCCCTCATTGCCAAACTCATTGCTGCCCTCACTCTTTGGTGCCTTCATTGCTGCCCTCATTGCCGCCCTCACTCATTGCCGCCCTCATTGCCGCCCTCACTCATTGCTGCCCTCACTCATTACCGCCCTCATTGCCGCCCTCACTCATTGCCGCCCTCATTGCCGCCCTCACTCATTGCCGCCCTCACTCATTACCGCCCTCATTGCCGCCCTCACTCATTGCCGCCCTCACTCATTGCCGCCCTCACTCATTGCCGCCCTCATTGTTGCCCTCACTCATTGCCGCCCTCACTCATTGCCGCCCTCATTGCCGCCCTCGGTGCGTTTTTCTTGTGGCGCTGTTGGCGGCTCGCACCTGGAATCCAATGAAAATAAATCTCCATTCCGGGTGGACTGACCCTTTAAATCCGTTAGGACGTGATTCTTCCGAGTGATACAGCCTCATCCCCGGCCAGCAAAGCTCGCAGTGTTCAGCCGCTGGGCTCCTCTGATTGGCTGGCAGGTTTCTTCTGCTTTTCTAACGATAAATAGCCATTCTGAACAAAATGTTCGAGTCGTCTTTGGATGAATTAATTACCCCGCCATGGCCAGCTTTAATTCCGGCAATGAGACGTTATTACGGAATAATCCCAACATAAACCTTTTAGCTCTCCGTCTCCCTCGGCGCTGAAATAACCGCGGCTGATTGTAGCCTTTCACATGAGTGATGCCCCCCTCACCCGGACGTCGCCCCTTTGTCACCGACCGCCATGTGTGATTCCAGCCTTGGACACTGAAAACAGGAGACCGTGGAAATGTTCCATCAATATATGTCCGATCAGTCAGCTAATGACACCTTTCCAAGAGGACCCATCCCCCCCTCTGATGGGCCAGCTTGTGTTCTGCCATTGGTGGATCTATTGTGTGCCCCCCCCCTCTGATGGGCCAGCTTGTGTTCTGCCATTGGTGGATCTATTGTGTGCCCCCCCCAGATGGGCCAGCTTGTGTTCTGCCATTGATGGATCTATTGTTTGCCCCCCCCCAGATGGGCCAGCTTGTGTTCTGCCATTGATGGATCTATTGTTTGCCCCCCTCAGATGGGCCAGCTTGTGTTCTGCCATTGATGGATCTATTGTTTGCCCCCACCCAGATGGGCCAGCTTGTGTTCTGCCATTGATGGATCTATTGTGTGCCCCCCCCCCTCTGATGGGCCAGCTTGTGTTCTGCCATTGATGGATCTATTGTTTTCCCCCCCCAGATGGGCCAGCTTGTGTTCTGCCATTGATGGATCTATTGTGTGCCCCCCCCCCTCTGATGGGCCAGCTTGTGTTCTGCCATTGGTGGATCTATTGTGTGCCCCCCCCTCTGATGGGCCAGCTTGTGTTCTGCCATTGATGGATCTATTGTTTGCCCCCCCCAGATGGGCCAGCTTGTGTTCTGCCATTGATGGATCTATTGTTTCCCCCCCCCCAGATGGGCCAGCTTGTGTTCTGCCATTGATGGATCTATTGTGTGCCCCCCTCAGATGGGCCAGCTTGTGTTCTGCCATTGGTGGATCTATTGTGTGCCCCCCCCCCTCAGATGGGCCAGCTTGTGTTCTGCCATTGATGGATCTATTGTGTGCCCCCCCCAGATGGGCCAGCTTGTGTTCTGCCATTGATGGATCTATTGTGTGCCCCCCCCCCCAGATGGGCCAG